AAATCAGGAACAAGACAAGGATGCCCACTATCACCACTCCTCTTCGATATACTTCTGGAAACATTAGCCACAGGAATTAGACAAGAGAAAGAAATTAAAGCAATAATGATAGGAAAGGGAGAAGTTAAACTATCATTATTTGCTGATGATATGATACTCTGCATTGAAGACCCAAAATATTCCACCAAAAGACTTCTACACTTAAATGACACTTTTAGCAGAGTAGCTGGATACAAGGTCAACACTCAAAAATCAATAGCCTTCGTGTACACAAACAACCAACTCATTGAGAGAGAAATCAGGGAAACAATTCCTTTCACAATAGCATCCCAAAAAAATGAAGTATCTAGGAACCAATCTAATGAAAGAAGGAAAAGACCTCTACACTGAAAACTACAGCACTCTGAAAAAATAGATCAAAGAGGATATAAGAAAACAGAAAGATATTCCCTGCTTCTGGGTAGGAAGAATCAACATAATGAAAATGGCCATACTACCAAAACTGATATATAGATTCAACACAATGCCAATTGAAATTCCAACACTATTTTTCACACAACTAGAAAAAAAGAATCCAAAAATTCATTTGGAACCAGAAGAGACCTAGAATAGCAAAAGCCATCCTAGGCAACAGAGACATGGCAGTGGGTATAACAATTCCCAATTTGAAACTATACTACAAAGCCACTGTGATAAAAACAGCATGGTGCTGGCAAAGAAATAGGCCTGAGGATCAGTGGAACAGACTGCAACATACAAAAACAACTCCAGATGTACTCAGCTACCTCATCTTTGACAAAAGAGCCAACCATCCTCAATGGAGGCAAGATAGTCTCTTTAATAAATAGTGTTGGAAAAACTGGATTTCAACCTGCCAAAGATTAAAATTAGACCCTTGTCTTTTACCATGCACTAAACTAAAATCTAAGTGGATTAAAGATCTAAATATTAAAAAAAACTAAACTTGCTGGAAGATAAGTTAGGTGGAACTCTTGAAGACATTGACATAGGAAAAAACGTTATGAATAAATCCTCAGTAGCATGGGAACTAGAGAAAGAATCAACAACTGGGATCTCATCTTATTGAAGAGCTTCTGCACTGCAAAAGAAACCATCAACAGAACTAAAAGACAACGTGCAATGTGGGAAAAAAATTTTAATAGCTGCTCCTCAGACAAAGGCTTTTATCTAGAATATGTAAAAAACTCAAAACCATCAGCCCCCCAAATATAAAGACCCAATTCAAAAATGGGCATCTGAAATGAACAGACATTTCTCAGACAAAGAAATAAAAGCAGCAAGTAAATATAAGAAAAAATGTTCCGCATCACTGGTCATTCAAGAGATGCAGATGAAAACAACACTGAGATTTCACCTCACCGCACAAACAATAGCTGCTATCAAGAAACCAAACAATAACAAATGTTGGTGGATTTGTGGGGAGAAAGAAACCCTTCCCCATTGTTGGTGGGAGTGCAGACTGGTGCAACCAATATGGAAATCAATATAGAGATACCTCAAAGAGCTGGGACTAGAGGTTCCATTTGACCCAGCCATCCCTCTGCTGGGTATCTTTCTAAAAGAATTAAAAGAATCATACCACAGTGATATATGCACACCTATGTTTATAGCAGCACAGTTTGTAATAGCTAAAATTTGGAAACAGCCCATTTGCCCATCAGTTGGAGACTGGATAAAGAAGATGAGGTTTTTCTATAAAATGGAATACTACTCAACCATAAAGAATGAGAGATTAGAGTCATTCATAGGAAAATGGATACATATTGAGGATATACTCCTAAGTGAAACAAATAAGTCACACATGGGTAAATACCGAATAGTTTCTCTGGTGTGAAAAACTATAATAGTACATAAGATCCTAATGCGATAATCGACAATGTGAAATAGGAAGAAAAGGGCTAAAGGTGTAGGGAAAGTGGGAAGGGTACAGGAAAGTCAATAAGGGAAAAGAAAAAAATATGAGAAAATGAAAAAATGGAAATAAAGTGTTTGTAAATGGGGAGGGGAGGAGGGGATGAAGGGAGGGCAGGGATAAGGGAAAAAATGAGAACCAAGACCTGTCATGTAAAGGTACAAGATCCCAATGATGAATGTAACGGTACTGTATACCTAAAATGTACCAATAAACTAAAAAAAAAAAATTCCACTGTCTTGGGTGAGGGATTTAGCTCAGTGGTGCCACTGCCTGCCGCACAAGTACAAGGTCTTATGTTGGATCCCTGGTACCAAAACAAACAAACAAACAAAATTCCACTGTCTTCTTTGCTCTGTTGCAGCTGGTAACTCAGAGCCCAGCGCCCCGTAAATGTGTTCCTGACTTTTGGAGGGGAGACCTGTTTTACCTTTAGGTCCTTCACAATCCAAGACACATATCATCTTGATTAAACAGCAGTGTGAGTGTGCCTCATCTTGCAAATCCAGGGAGTGTCGTTAATGCTCAACCCCTAAAAACATATCCACTGATCAATTGGGGCTTTGTTGTCTAAGGAATAAGGATTCCTCCAGAGCTTCACCCCGAATGTGTCCTGGGAATTCAGGATTTGTGCTGAATCCTTTAAACCCCTGAAAAGGCAGGGGTCTCCCCAGGTAAAATCTGAACACCCCTGTCTAATAAGCTTCTGTGTGTCTCCCCATCCTGCATCCCCCTGCATCTCTGCATGACCCCCAAAGCAGACTGGCAGCAACCCCGGCCCCTCGTACTCGAATGTGCAGTCTACACAACCTGCAGAATTGTTGATCCCTGTACTGTATGTCGCTGATTTGCCCCAAGAGATGGGATGTTATCCAGAGTGGCTGCCATGTCTCCTATTTCTTTGAAAGCTCAACACCCAATAACTTTTAAAATTGTAGCTGAATGGGTGCCCATTGAGGCGATACTCAAGTGAAATAAATAGGACACACATGAATAAATACCTCATCATTTCTCTGGTGTGAAAAATGAAATGTATAAATAGGGTTCAAATGGTATAATGGATAGTGTGAAATAGGAAGAAAAGGGCTAAAGGGGAAGCGGGAAGGACAGGAGAGGGGAAAGAAAATAAGGGAATAGAAAAAATATGAAAAAAGGAAAACAATGGAAACAAAGTCTTTGTATGTAGGGAAGGGTGAAGGGGGTGAAGGGAGGGCAGGGGAATGAGGGAAAAGTAAGAACAAAGACACATCATGTAAAGGTGCAAGGTCCCAGTGATAAATGTAACTGTACTGTTTGCCTTAAATGTACCAATAAATTTAATGGGAAAAATTAAATTGTAACAAAATGTCATACTATTATGACGCTTACAGTATTTACCCTCATGATCTCCTTTGCTACAGAACAGCATCTGGTTTCCATGTGTGAATTAAACTTTCCCATTAAAAGATGTGAACAATGGCTCATGATGCTTTTCATGTTAGGAAATCCACACTGGGAGAAATTTCACGGCAGTTTCTTTTCCCTTCTTTCCAGGACATCTTGGGTGTATTAGAATGCTTTTAGGGGCAGATGAACCTAAGACCTTTGTACACTTTTTTGTTTTTTATTTTGAGATGGGGTCCTCCCACTAAGTCGCTAAGTTGTCTAGGCTCGAATTTACAGTCCCCCTGTCTCAGCCTCCCCTTCATTGGCTTTTCTTTCTAATAGTCTTAGAAGTTCAGGAAAAATAGAAACACAGATGGAAAGTATGAGGATGTCAGTAACTCAAGTCAAGGAGAAACACCTGCTCTGAATCCCACTGGCTAACGAAGAATGTAGGAAGACGCTTTGTTCATCTGAGAAGCAGTAAGTAGGTTTCGCTACAGAAAAATCAGCCAATTTGTTAGAAAAGAAAAGAAAAATCCCCTCCCTGTTGGCACTGCACAACGTTGAGGCCACCTGCTCCACTCAACTGGGAAAAATCGGGGAGGAATGTGCCAGGGAACAGATGACACAACTCTTGCAGTATGTTGGGAAGGTGCCAAGGAAAATCAGAAAACAAAGGAACCAAGGTCTGTGATGGCCCCTCGGTTTCAGGGGTGCACTGCTCACTGCCGCCTCCAGAAACTGAGTCACCCTTGCAGAACTTGTCCCAGCTCAAGTTTATCAGCCTGAGAGCAGCCAGAGGGGAGGCATCACTGTCCTCCCACAGGAGAAGCTTGGAGGGAGAGCAAGCGGCTACTCAGGTGAGCAGTGTAGGAGGAAGGCGCCCCAGGGATGGGAGGAAGCAAGGTTCCCGGGCCTGCACAGGGAGCCTGCTGAGCAGCCCTTCATGATCTGGTTCCAGGAAAGAAGCGGCCCGGAGTCCAAGCCTCATGGGGTCAGCTAAGACCGGACTCTGGGCCGCCTTCAGCTGCTACTCCTCGCTGTCAGGGTCTGCATCGCTGTTCTCGCCCAGGGGAAATTCCTCTGTGGGCTTCTGGGTTGTGTACATCCGGGTCTCCATGGGGCAGTCCTGGCTCAGAATAGCCTGCAGGAAGGGGCAAGAAGACAAATCACTGCCCAGCCCATATTTGACCATCTCCCCATTCCTGTCCCCCACTAGCTCATCCAAGTCTACTGCTGTTTAGGAAAGACCCAAGATGCAACTATAGACCATGGAACCTTCTTTCTGATCCATGTACATGCACAGCCCTCCCAAGATACCTAGGTAAGCCTCCTTGTAGGGACAAACATCTGATACACTTTTAACTGAATCCCAGGGATAGTGCAAGACACAGCAGGAAGCAGCTGAAATTGACACCGCTTTGTATCAGACCTTCCCGTCCTCTTTTATTCCTTTAAGCAGCATCAACCATCCCCAAGCTACCAGACCTTCATCCTCAGCCATCCCCAACCATCAGACCCTCAGGGTTGAATGCTGAAATAAAAGGAAAATACCCTGTTAGCTAAAAATCACATGCAGAAGACCTTTCCTCTGAGGTTTTTACTACTTAAAGAGAGATGGCTCAATGAGAGCCAGAGCCAGAGAGAGAGAGAGAGAGAGAGAGAGCGAGAGCGAGCCAGTAAATATAATGGCAGACTAACTGGGTGTGGTGGCGCATGCCTGTAATCTCAGCACCCGGGGAGGCTGAGGCAGGAAGATCACTGTGAGTGCAGGGTCAGCTTGGGCTACACAGTGAGTTCCAGGGTAGCCTGCACTACACAGGAAGATCCTGTCTAAACAAACAAACAAACAAACAAACAAACAGATAGTGGCCGACTCAGATGAATGAATGGATGTGCCGAGTGGAATTCTGCCCATTTATGGAAGGAATAATTTGTTAACTTACACTGTGCTACAGTGAGTACAGAACAATTACAGTAAGGGCAGAATAACTGCTTTTCTTCTTCCTCTTCTTTCCTCCTCCTTTCTCCTCCTGCTCTCCTTTTTTTTTTTTTTTTTCTTTTTCAATATTGTGGATTGAACCCAAGACCTTCCTGCTGAATTACATCTACAGTCCTTCCTATCTTAGTTTTGGTTTTGGTCTGATTTGATTTTTTGGAGGCAGAGTCTTGCAAGTTGCTAAATTGCACAGTTTGACCTTGAACTTGAAATCCTCCTTCCTCAGCCTCCCAGAATGCTGAGATTACAAGTGTGCACCACAATCCCCGGCTTCATTTTCCTTCTTAAAATCCTTTTTTGCTGTGCATGGTGGAGCCTGCTTGTAATCTCAGCACTCAAGAGGCTGAGTCAGGAGGATAGCTGTGAATTCAAGGCCACCCTGGCCTACATAAATGAGTTCAAATCCAGCCTGCACTACATAGCAGGACATTGTCTAAAAAAAACAAAACAAAACAAAAAACTTTTTAAAAGGGAGGTAGTTATTTAAAGAAAGGAAATAAGGAAGGGCATGACAGGAGATAAATATAAAAGGAATCAGAAAATGTGGCAAGTCAGAGAGATGATCAATAGAGGGAAGAAATTAGCATAGGAAAAAGGGCTGAGACAATGGAAAGAAACAGCACGTGAGTTTTTAAAGCAGCTGGAGCTCCGTACAAGCTTCTCCTCCTTGGCTGGGGGGTTTCGCAGGAAATAGCAGAGAGGAGCATAGACGATGTTAACCACCCCAATGATGACCATGATCCAGGGGAAACCAATGGCCCGCACAATGGCGCCCCCGGTGGACGGGCCTGTGAAGAAGAAAGCAAATGACAAGTATTTACTGAGCCTGGATTGCCTGGAAGACATTCCACTAGGAGCTGGGTGACTCACAGGATGTCCCAGGGTTGGAAATCTTCAGAGCCCTGGGGTGCCCGGTTCACAGTACAGAGGAGTGAGGAGGGTACCCAGGCCCGGGATGGTCCTCTCCCCAGCCAACATACCAATAGCAAAGCCCATACAGAAAGCCACGTCAGCAATGGCGTAGACACTCCCATACACGGAGGTGTGCCGCAGGTCCACCAGGTGCCCCATGATGGGCATCAGCGAGGAGTCCACCATGCCTGAGGCCAGAGCACACCAGACGCCGTCCGTCAGCTGCGGCGCCCCTCTCCTCCTCCCCCATTCCACCCATTCCCTTAGCCTGCTGCCTCCTCTTCCCTCTTCCTTCCCACCCTCCGCTGATGAGAAGAGGAGGAAAGGCATTCGGCCATTGCCAACATTCACGGGCTTCCTGCTGCCGTTGAGGGAGCTTCTTACCTATGGCAAAGCCAAGGCCCGCATTGGGGCCAATGAGACCAAGAATACTGTGAGCCAGCGGGACCTGCAAGCGGAAGAAGGAGGAGCTCATCAGGACTCCAGCCGGGCTGGCGTGGGCAAGGCTTCCCATGAACAGCTGCGCACAGTGCGTGCTGTGTGCCACACGCTGAACTCTCGCACCGCAGCATGAAGAAGAATCATTACCTTCACATGAAGACCTGAGAACAGGACTGGTGTCGATGCATCACATGCCCTCTCCGAAGTTACAGAGCTGTTGTGCAGCAAGACCAAGTGTGGACCTCAGGATTGACTCCAGCATGCCGCACCCATGGTCCTTTTCAGCTCATGCCCTCTTCCTCCTCGCCCTCTCCCATTCTCCGCCCAGACACCTTCCCATCCTCCTCCTTCACTGAGTGGAGCTGGCTCTCTTTTCCATTACTGACATCATCAAAGGCTTTATTTAAATCCCCATCTTGGTAGCCAATGGAGCAAAACACAGAGGAGCGCAACAGCCAATTACCTCCACGGTCTCGCACCCCACAACAAGATGGGACGCTTAGTCGCATTCCCCACTCTAAGGGGTTTTTTCCTTCCCTATTGTGCAAGTCCCCTCCCTTCCTTCCCCCTACCTTGAGTGACAGGATAGCTGTCACTCAAAAGCCATTATCCCAGCACACTCACCCCTCACAGGGCCAGCATACTGTTCAGGCATTGTGACGCCCAGTTACAGTCGGAGACTCACTGAGGGCCACTGTGTGTCACTCATCATGCCGCAGTGTGTGTGGATTACTGTAACCACCCTGCTACTCAGGGGAGGGCACCGAGGATATGAGCAGGGAGGAGATGTAAGGAACTCAGAGTCACACAAAGGGTGAGGGGCAAAGCTGGGATGGAGCCCGAACTCCGGCCCGTCTTGAGCACAGCACTCAGGGCTTTGTGTCTCTTTTCTCATCACTCCCAAGCCCAGGCACCACTGTGCTGCTGATCTCCACTAGGGCCAAGAGGAAATGAAGGCTTAGGGGGCTTGAAAGGGGCTCTTGCAAAGAGTGAAGACCTCTTTCTTTCTTCTTCTACCAAATAGTATGATGCCAGAGACCAAGGCACAGCTGTTTGTTCTTTAGTGCCCTGTTGGAGCAGGTCAGTACATGAAGTCATACAATGCACCATTAAGGTCGCTCCCAAAGTAGCTGCTGACACATCTCACGTTGTATCCTGCACGCCAAGCCTCAGACCTCTGTCTCCTACTGCCCATCACCCTCCTCTCCACAGGGCACCACTCCAACTAGTGGCATCTCCTCCAGGAGTGGTTCCTACCTACTCAGAAATAGTTTTTTGGAGCTCTGCTTATTTTGAAGAAAATGGTCTTTTAATATCTGTCTGTCTGTTTCTCTCCATGCCTCATTATACTTACACAGAGCAAGCTGGTACCAACCACCACCATCCCAACCAGGGAGCACAACCACCTAGAAGAAAAGAGCCATTGCCAGACAGGAGTCAGGGGAGAGAGAGATCCTTTCCACCTGTCACCCCAAATCCACCATACTGGCCAGCCCTACCCACCTCCAATGCCAACAACCCTTGAGGCCACGAGAAGATACATGCATCTCTACAGAACCAGTTTGTACCACATCTTTTCTGTCCTTCCCTTGTTCTTATCCTTTGCCAGCCCAAGTTCATTCCCCTTTCTATAGCAGAGGCAGGGATGGTGCCATGGGACATATTTTTACTTCCCTTAGAAGAGCACTTTCCTGATTCAGAAGGCACAGTTGGGAGCAGCCCTTGAACTTGATGTGTATGGTTTCTCAGTCTAGACTACTTCCCACCCATTTACATTTTATGTGATTTTGGATGTCCAACTCCAAAAACAAACAAAACATTTCAAATTTTCTATCATCTACTTTCCTTTGGCAGCGATTGTAGAAATCTATACTCTGAACTCCAAAGTTAAAACTAGAGCCAGAGCTGTCTTCATTATAATAAAAGAACAGACTCCAGATGCATAACACTCAACCTCCTGCCCCACCCTTTGGTAGCTTCTGAGACCCCACTGTCAAATCGCCCAGGGTTCCATGGGACATCGTTTTTTGCTTTTTGGTACCAGGGATCAAACTCAGGACCTTGGCTTTCAAGGCTGAGCTAAATCCCCAGCGCCTCCATAGAACATAGTTTGACAACTGCCCCAAAGTATACGCTGCTTTTCTCACACGTGTCTCCTCTGGGGTTGTTATCTGTTTAACTGGAGAGCAAAGATCATGCATCACACGTCCACTGCCTCTTCTCCAGCATTCAGCCCAGACCCATCCTTTCTCCATGTGCCGCTCACCAAGCGCCCGTTACCCTTCCACAGCTTTTACGACTGTGTGTTTCTAAATCTCCCAGTCTGAGAAGTTATCTGTCATCCTAAGTGCAGGGCTTTTCCATCCTGTGTTCCTATCGTTCTTCCCAGACCCCCAGGCTACGTACCGACCCATCTTGTTGGCCAGCACACCAAAGAGGTTGGTGCCGATGAGGTAGGACACGCTGGCAGGCAGGAAAGCCAGACCTGTGGAAGGACAAAGAGCCTCACCTCAGGACGCATGCAGTTGAATCTGAAACACCTGTCTGCCACAAGACACTAAAGCTCCCTAACACATTGCTTTATGGTTGGGAGATCCTGGTGCAAATGCATAGCAGAAGACCTAGGATCCCGCATTGTTGCTTTTCCTAAGAGCAGGGCTGTTTAGCCCTAACATACTTAATGTGCTTCTAGTTCCCTCTTAGACTTTCTGACAAGAGGCCCTAATGAGCCATCAGCCAGAGAACATGAAGGACGTGCATACATCTTGGAAAACACAATTCCCACCTCACTGTTTACCTGTCTTTCTATTGCTCTGCTAGTGACCTTGGATGAGTTACTAGAGCATTTTGAATCTTGGTTCCCACATCTAAATCTATGACCCATCCTCCTAGGCAACAGTGAAGAGCAAATTGGATATGGAATATGAAAACATCTTGTAAATGGAAGCCCTGGCTTCCACGGCTTTGTGTGATGATCAAGTGCAGTGTTCTAGAAATACGGGCCTGCCATGCCGTTCTGAGTTCAAATTGTGGCTTGGCCACTTGTGAGCTCTATGGTCTTGGGCAATTTATTTACTGTCTCTGAGTCTCATTCACTCATCCCTTATAATAAACTTTCCATATGCCAGGTATTCTTGGGGCTAAGAATGGACAGACAAAAATTCTAGCTTACATTCCATCAGAGAGAAATAGTAAAAAAACCTAAACAAACACAAAATATGATTTTTTTAATGTCATGTGTAGTGGCTCACACCTGCAATCCCACCTTGGGAGGCTGAGACAGGAAGATCACTGTGTGTTTGAGACCAGCCTAGGCTACATAATGGGTTTGAGGCCAGCCTGAACTACAAAGTGAGACCATGTCCCAAAAAACAAAAACAAAAAGGAAAGAAAGATGGGGGGGAGGGAGAGAGAGAGAGAGAGAGAGAGAGAGAGAGAGAGAGAGGGAGGGAGGGAGAGAGGGAGAGAGGGAAAGAAAGAAAGGGAGAAAAATGTTAGGTTCTGTGGAGGAAACAACATGGCAATATGGCAGAGTGACCAGGAAGAAAAGCTACACTGGGTTCGGGAGACCAAGGAAAGCCTCTCTGAGAAAATGCTGTAAGCTGAGACTCCAGAAACCAAAGGGGAGCTATGTGTGTACGTGTGCATGCATGCGTGCATGCGTGCATGCGTGCGTGTGTGTGTGTGTGTGTGTGTGTGTGTATAGTGCTTCATACCAATAAAAAGGCCTTAAAGAAGCAGCCTCTTAGTCTGTTCTAGGGATAGGAAGGCTGAAGAACATGAGCAGACTCCAATTCATATTTCCTAAACTGCCTCAGTCAAATGAGCTCCTAGGACAGGAGTGGCTGCCAGAAGACTATTTGTAAGTCAAAGAGAAAAGTGACAGAGCCTGGGCATGGAGGTCATGATGGAAAGAAATGAATGGAGTTGGAGGTATTTTGAAATTAGGTTGGTGGAATTTTCTGCTGGACTGGATGTGGACATAGTGGAAGGGAGGAGGACAAGAGAGAAACAAGGACCCTGAGTTGTTACCATGATTGGCTGGGCATCTGGAGATGGAGAGGACCTGTTGGGGAGGAAGAGCTTGATCAGAAGATGAGAAGTTTGAAACACCTGTTAGATAGGTAAGCAGGCAGGTACACAAGACCCGAGCTCCAAGGAGTGGTCGGTCATAAAGACAAATGTAAGTCTGGGACTTGATAATTTGTGTATGGTTCTTAAAGCCACGGAATGGCTGGTACTGCCTACTGTCAGATAAAGAACAGAAGGGAAGTTAGGAAAGGTGGGGAGGAGCCAGTGAAGTGGGTGGGAAGTGATGGAACCCAGAAAGCAAAGCAGAGTTGGGCTTTGATCCCAGATGGGATGCTTCAACCAAGTTTAGGAAAACACAAGTGAGGGGAAGCCAGTACATTTAGTGGCAGAGATGTGAGTTCCCTTCTTGCTTTGATTAGAAGGCAAAGCCAATAGCTGAGGACAATGAAGGTGAAGGAACGGAAGTCAACAGGGAGTCTAAACAGAAAGGTAGAACATCGTCATTTTTGGAAAGTGGGAAGGAACACGGGAGACTTTGTCTCTAGTGTGGCAATTCTAGAGGTGATGGAACCCTTGAGAGTGGAGCTTAATGGGAGAAGGAGCCGCCCTCCCAATGGATTAAGGCAGCATGGGGTCCCTGAGCTTTGCGGAGAGTGAATTGGTATCAGGGTAAGCTGGACCCCAGGATCACTCTCTGGCTTCCTGTTTGGTGATGGGCTGCTTTGCTTCTACCCACGCTCCAGCCATCTGCCAGAGGCCCTTGCCAGAGCTGACACCGTACTGCTTGGAGCATTGGTCTCCAGAACTGTGTGTTAAATGAGCCTTTTGTACTCTATGGAGTGAGCCTGCTTCTGGTATTTGATTAGAGTGGCAAAAATCTACTCAAACAAGGGATGGCAATAATTCTGACCCGAGAGGCCGGAGAGGCTTTGAGGTGAGACTATCAAATACTTGGCAAGGTGCCTGGCACGTGTAAGTGTCCTATGAGCACTGAACCTAACTATTCTCATCCTAAATGACGAGTGACTGGTTTAGGACCAGAACCCAGGCTTCTCGCTCCAGTACCAGGTGTTTCCACTACCCAACCCCAACGGTGTCAGCACAGATGGCTCTGGAACAATGGGCCTGCTTGGAATTAGCAGCATGAGTCTCTCTGGGTCTCGGCAGCCCTCACTACACTTCCCTGGGTGTATAGGAAACAGTGGAGCCCAAGAGAAAACACATGACCATCATCATTAAGCCCAAAATCAACAATTCACCAGGTCCTGGCTGACGGCTTGTTTGCTTTTAATATTGTCTTCTATGGAGTAGAAGCAAAGCATAGCCCAGTGTATTTGTCTAGTCTATCTGCACAGGGCTGGCAATCTGTTTCAAAGTGTGTCTGTATGTTTCTGTGCAATTGCTTTGGAAAAACGTAGAGGTCATAACTACGGGACTGTTTATCTGATTTGAGGAAACAGGAAGCTCTAGGAAGCTCGCTGGCCCAGATAACATCTTCTCGACATCACTGTGAATGGCGTGGAATTTCCAAGTGAGATTTCCCTCAATCCCCTCGGCTTGTCCTGTGGCACCTGGCTATCATCACACGTCAGCCTCACTGTGTATTCTTGACTGCATGGCCACTGGTGCATATTTACTGTTCTCAGCATGTCTTCAAAGGTGGCAGAGCACACACAGCTGTGACTATTGAGATGGCTTAAACAAAAGAATTATGAAAATAGCTGATAATAATTCTTATCGCCTGCGTGTATGATACATTTTATGCATGGTGCTAATCTCTTTGGAATAACTGCATAGACCAAAGCAACTTGGAAAAAAAAAATCTCCGTTTTTACAAAGAAAGAGGTAGAGTTCAAGGTGAAATTGCTCCTCCAAGGTTACATCAGGAAGTGGCCCGATCCCAGTTCAGACCAGGTGAGCCTGCTTCCAAAGCTGCGGCTTCCTCAGCACTTGGTGAAGGGCTCGGCACACCGTGGGCCGTGTGGCAAAGGCTGCATCACAGACTGCACATCACGCCCAATAACCTAGTTGCCTTCGCTCCTCCCAGCAACCCGGAGAGGGGATCTCCATGTGGAGCAGTGCTTTTCTATGTGTGGCTGTTGGTGACCAGAGAGAGTCGCCTGGGATCTCACTGAGAATCCAGGTCTGTCTTTGCTGTCTGGTGCCCACACTCAGGCTTCACAACCTCGACCCAGGTTCTGGCGTCAACCCTGGGGAACCTGGGATGTCAGATCTTTCAGGTGCAGAGAGTCCTGAGAAGAGCTGCACAACACTCTGGTAAGTGAGTCACTGGTATCTGAGGCCAGAAACTGGGCTGCTGGGGAAGGGCTCCTCCCTGCTGCAGTTGCTCACAGGCACCAGGAGCCTCAGTGGTCAGAGCCTCAGGAAGAGGGTGCATTATCCGCACTGAACACTGCCTAACTCAATTAATTATCAAGCCCAGAGGCAGTCACAGTCCAGAAAAATTCAATTTGGGACGAGGAGTGCAACTGGGAGCTTCGCCTATAATTGTTCCCTAAAAAATTAGATTTGGTGCTTTTCAGTGCGTGACGCTGAGCTGCTTGAGGTTCTTATCAGCTTCCTCTGTGGCTCTGTGAGCCTCCCCTCCCTGCAGTGACTGAGCCATTTGCACGTAGCCTCCTCTGTCCCCTTGTCTCTGGCTTCCTGAAGGGCAGGAGCATTTTCTCTATGCTCAGATGAGTCCTGAGGCACTGGCAGAAAGGCTGGAGCCCTCTCTCCCTGCTGTGGGGAACTCTGTGGGGGCACAGAGCTCAGCACCTTCCCTGGGTGAGAGATACAGTGTTTCTTCCACAAGAACCTTTTTAGAAGTGAAAAGACAGACCAAAAGGCAGGGGGAGTGGAAGACAGGAAAGTGTGGACGGTCCTGGTGGTGCACACTGAATGAGGTACAAAGCTTACCCACAGCTTCTGTCACTTGGTCCTGCAATTAATACAGACAGTAATGATAGTGCATAGCGATACTGAGCACGTACAAAGCATTTCCACACCCTATACCTTTCACTCCTCCAATGTCTCTTTGAACTAGATAGTGCTTGGTGCCATTTCAGTGATGAGAAGTTTACCTCACTGGTCAATGGAACTGAACCAAAATCCTAGGTCATTTGATTGGGAAATTTTAATCACTTTACCAAACAGCTAGGTAAAGCTCCTGTCACCTTCTCTCCCTGTCCCTTCTCAGGCTGCTTCTCTGGAGGGCTGCCCTCAAGGAAAGTAATTCGACAAGGGAAACAGATTCCCCCTCTGAGATGCTGAGGACCTGGGCTTGATGATACTTCTTAATTACCTGAGAAATGGCCCACGGCATCTGCCTCTGGCCCACATCCAAGGTGAGGTTCAAGGTTACTTACCAAGCTGCCACTCAGGGGAGCACATGGTCTGCATCATCCAGATGGGCAATGTGGGTTCTAGAATGGCCACTCCCATGTTGGCAAAGCAGATGGAACCTGGAGAGATGGTTCTGTGAGCCACTGTGGCTACTCACAGCCCAGACTCTTCTAGTTCAGAAGAAGACCATTGCCAACTCACCTGCAGCCACCAGGATATAAGGGTCTTTGAGAAGTGTAAGGATTGGAGTCCCCTTGGCACTCTGAGAACATGGACAAGAAAAACTTTCTTGTTATCTGCACAGTGCTCACATCTCTCCTGTCATCAGAGTCTGAGAATATGCACACAGGGCTTTAGAGACCATCTACACCAAGTCCTTTACTGCAGAGATCAGGAAACCCAAGTCCAGGAACAAAAGATGACTTGCCTGATGTCATGGAGTAACAACCCACCCTGTAGCCAGGCAGGCACTGCGATGGGCACAGAGAGAGGGCATCATGTTCCAAGTGCAATTCCTGCCTCCACATGACCTCTGTCAAGTCCAAGTGAATGGAGGAGAGGCAAGGGCCAGGCAGCTGGTGTTCCAGGGCCTTTCTCTGCTCCATCTCCCTGGCACCAGTATTTGTTCTGGGAGGACCACAGGCCGAGCACTGAGTCTCCGGAATGAGCTTAGAAGTGCTACCTCAGGAAGCTCCTCAAGCCATCTGAATTCTTCCGGCTCACCAAGTAAGGCACATTGGACTTAGGCAGCAGAGAACTTGACCATCTGGGTTAAAACACTGACCTAAACGCCCCATTCTAGTTTCCCCTCCCTTCTCGGCGTACCCTTACCATGGCACACTTGTTCACCCTATCTTCCTTCCACGCAGCCCAGCAGCCCCTCCACCATCCCTGCTCTCTTTGCCAGAACAACCTTCTTTCTCATCTCCAGGTTCCTCAAGTTCATTCTTCAAGGTTTAGCTTAAATGGCTCCTTTCTTTGCCTAGTGTTCCTTGAGTTGGTAGCTGAAATTTCTTCCTCTTTCAAACTTCTTCAGAATTCTGTCCTAATCTTCTATCATACATACTCTTTTTTTTTTTTTTTTTTTTGGTACTGGGGATTGAACTCAGGACCTTGTGCTTGTGAGGCAGGCAGTGGAACCACTGAGCTAATTGCCAGGCCCCATGTGTATTCTGTACATCTTGGAAGCGCTTCAATAATTTGTAGATGATAATTTTTGCATGCACAAAAGAGTGGATTAAGATATAAAGAGATCCTAACAAGATCATGTCCTCACTTCATATATAATTCAAAGTAAAGAAATGGTAATCATAAATAATATTTTATTTATTTATTAAATTTTATTATTTTATTTAATCTCACTCCTAGAAATTTGAAGATTGCTGCTAACATTCTAAAATGCATGTGCACAAGGTAATTGATTTTAGCACTGTTTGTAACTGCAAAGTACTAAAAACTATCTAAGTTTTTAGAAACAGGAAATTAAATATAATATTGTATGCACAATGGTGAAAACAATGAGCGAAAACTCTCTAAACTGATAGGGAGTGATTTTTATGATGCATTGCCAAATGAGAGGGAAAAAAGTAGAATCAAAGAATAATATATAATATAAAAGCTTTTGTGTGAAAAGAGGGAGGGGATGGGAAAATGTAAGTAAACTATTTTGGAGAAGCACAAGAACATTGGAAAGATAAACAAGAAAATCATTAAATTAGTTACTGTACTCATAAGTAGTAAGAGTGAGGGCAGATAAGGGTAGAAAGGTAATAGAGATTGACTCTAAATGGTAATATTTGATATATTCAAAAAATAAAATGATGTTAATGTTATGTACTTAACTTTGCCCCTCCAAAACCCATATGCTGAAGCTTTAACACATGTCCTATTAAAGATAGAGCTCTTAGGGAAATAATTAAGGCTAAGTGGGGTCATAAGGATAGAGCCTGACATTAGGACTAGTGTCCTTATAAGAAGGGACACTAGAGATCCCTCTCTCTGTGCACACACATCCAAGAGAGGCCATGTGGGGGCGCAGTGAGAAGGTGGCCATCTGCCAACCAAGGAAGGAGGCCTCACCAGGGGCCAATACTGACAGCACCTTGATCTTGGATGTCCAGCCTCCAGTACTATGAGAATATGAATGTTTCTTGTTTAAATCAGCAGGATATTGTTATGGCAACCTGAATAGACCAATACAAGTAACAAGAATAGAGAAACAAACTAAAACTAAACACCAATAAAAGCAAATGAATACAACTGAATTTTAAATGCATTGTACATAATACATCGCATTCATGATTAGGAAGAGAACTAACACAAGTAATTTCTAAACAGTAGCTTGGCTATATTCCCTAATCTTAAGGGGAAAAGAACTGCAAAAATCTTCAACGCTGTTCAGTAGGTCTGTTTTTTATAGTGGTATAGGCATACAAATCACAATATTAAAATTATTGTAGGATTGAACAAGTAGGTAAATGTCTTCATTAGGGGGAGAGCCAAGATTCTCATGATGAAAATGGGCAGATAAAAGTATGGAGTGGGGAAAGTGACAAAAATCCTGTGAAGTTGGGCTGGAAGCAGAAGTTTCACTATGAACTCGTGTGTGTGTGTGTGTGTGTGTGTGTGCGTGTGCGTGTGTGCGTGCATTCCTGTGAAGTTGGGCTGGAAGCAGAAGTTTCACTATGAACTCGTGTGTGTGTGTGTGTGTGTGTGTGTGCGTGTGCGTGTGTGTGCGTGCATACATGTATGCGTGCATATGCATGTGTGTGTGTGTGTGTGTGTTCGTTCTATCATTAAGGGGGCCTAGAAAGGAGAAGCCCCTAATAGCTGTGAGCAGACTAAGTGTATGGACACTATTGGTTTCTATATTGGTTCCTAAGCACCATTCCCCAATAAAAGAAACCAGGACTTCTCGGAGAAGGAGCCGAAGCGAGTACGGTACAGGATGAGCATGGGATGAGTTTTTGTGTCAGAAAGTAAAACACTATTCAAAAAAACATTAAATGCATGCTAAAGTGGCACAAGGGCCAGTTAGAACGGGCTCCCATTTGCCAAATCTAGGGCAATTTGACCATCAAAATGAATAATGAGAAACTACAATCCACTAATCAAAATAGCAACCATGTATTCCAACTGAAAATAAACAGATAAATAAATAAAATATATATGTTTGCATAGAATATGCATAAATATTTGTATAATATGTATCAAGATAGAGAAAGAAATAGCTATTTCTTATAGCAAAATGTCAACTGGTGATGTATGGAAGGATTGGTAAAATAGAAACCCCTGCATTTATCAAATATTATAGCAAGGACTGGTTTAAGAGAGGATCATTGATGGATAATAAACCTGGGCAGGGGTGAAATTTGGAGAAGATATGAAATTAATAAGAATAGGCTATTCATCAGTTACAAGTGAAAAATACTAACTACACAATGGAGAAACCAACACCACCTTGGCCCAGTGATAAAAATGATCACTGCTTACAGGTGAACGGGGACTGTGTGCCTCTAGTTGTAACTCTAGAAGGACACAGACTTTCCTAGACAGTACAACAGCAGTACATGTAGGGCCTGGAGCTGGTGCAGAGGAAACATCAGGCTAGCCACATTGAGGAGACTCTCTAAAATAACCATATGCTTCAAAAAATAAATGTCATGAAAGATAAAGAAAGGCAGAGGAACTTTTCCAGATTAGAGGAGACTGAAAGATGGGACACACAAAAGTACCATATAATCCTGGACTAAATCCTGTACTGAAGACTTAAGAAAAAGACTGCTACAAAGGACTTTATTAGAATAATAGCAAAATCAGTAGGTACTTTGGATATTATATCGATGTTAAACTTCCTGAACTTGATAATTCAATTGTCATTAAACAACAACAAAAAAAAATGTTTTCAGTGAAAATCCTTTATTAAGAGATAAAGGAATGCGGTAAGGAATCTACTCTCAAATGGTTCAGAAAACAATAAGGAATGATAATTCATGTATGCGTGTGGGAGAGAGAGACAGAGAGAAGAAATATGACAAAAACTTAAAAATTAGTAAAGAAATTGGATGTGTGGAGTTCTCTTCCATAGGAATATGTATCACATCTTATGCTTACAACTTTCTGTATTAGAAATTATTTCAAAATTTAAAGTTTTGTGGGGCTGGGGATTTAGCTCAGTGGCACTGCGCCTGCCTCCCAAGTGCAAGGTCATGAGTTCGATCCCCGGTACCAAAAAACAAAGAAAAAAAATTAAAGTTTCATGGCGAGGGATTTAGCTCAGTGGTTCCAACGCCTACCTTGCAAGTGAGTTTGATTCCTGGTACCGAGAGAGAGAGAGAGAGAGAGAGAGAGAGAGAGAGGGAGAGATTGGCCTTGGAGCCAGCCAACTATGGACTAAAACCTCTGCAAAGTGTGAGCTAAATAAACTCTTTCCCTTTTAACTTTGGGTGTTGGGTATTTTGTCTCAGCGATGAGAGAAAAGTAACTAAGACAAAAGTCTAATGAAGCTCTGATTCCGCCCCCCCCATCAAGGTCTTTTTTAAAAAATTTGTTGGTTTCCTGCTTTCCTAGTTCCTTTTCCCCAAACTTAGTCTGTTGGTTTAATGATTCATCACTGTTGGCAGGCAAGATACTCAGTAAGTACTGGTGGAACCACCTGGAAGGACATTCCTCTGTCTGGGCAGGTACTGGGGCCAGGCCAGGTGGTCTGAGCCACTTCAGGTGGTCTGAGCCACTTCAGGTGGCCAGAAGAAATGTGGTGCTCCTTGCTTTGAGGAGTCCTAGTGGCAGTGGGTAGTGGTTACAACTTTGCCCATCCCTGAGTACCCAGACATCTCTGCTCCTAGATCCAGGTCTCAAAGAGTGACATCTCAACTTGCTACTGTCAGGGAACTGACACTCTCAAAATGCCAACTCTGTCACAGTGCCAGATCATTTCAGTTGCTTGTAGCTTTACCTGCAATTTCTGTGTCTCTAGAATGAGGCTAAAATGTATGAAACATAGGTGGCATACTTGCTAACCAGAGCTCCTGGGACTTAAAAACCATCAGTAATGTTTGCGTACTATTATAATTACTTCTGGAATACCTTGATAACCTATCAGATGCAAAGTCAAGGTCTTTAGCTTAAATTTCACCACATTTTCTGTATTCTTCTTCTGTTTGTTGAGTAGTTCATCACGATATGATTTGATGTTGACTTCACACAGCCATCTTTGGCACAGAATCAAATACCAACTCTGACATTTACTATCTGTGACAGAATGATCGGCTGTTAGGAATGTCTTGGAGGAAGTCTTTTATGGGGGAAGGTGGGCTGGAGGCCACTAACAGTTTTCTCTGAGGCAAGACTTCTTTGACTCTTTATAGCACCCATCTTTATCCTCTATCTTTGTCCAATATGAAGCCAGACTCTTGCACCATTGCCCACACTGCCTTAAACAGAGCTCTATGTGGAGCAGTAAGTGCAGTGCTATGTGGAACCTGAGTATTTTCTTTTCCCTTTTTCCAGATAGTGTGACAGGCTTGCCTGGGATCCCTGTGCCTAGCCACTCTGTGTATCTCTTAGTGAAGGAACTGGTGTTCACTCACCTCAGGAGAGACTTTGGAAGGCTGCAGGATGCAGAGCTGGAGGGCTAAGAAAAAAGGAAACAGAAGAAGGTGTTCAGCTTGTTTGTGGTTAAGCAGATGTTCCAGTAACAGCCACATTGCTACCAACTAACACCTTCTTTTCTACAATGGGGCAATCCTTGCTCCATCGAAACACATCCATACCACCCAGCAGTGGTAAAGACTGAAAGGCTCCATTCTCAACCTGACCCAGGCTATCACCCAACCAGGACCCCATTGCTGACTTACCTCCATCCAGTAGTGCCAGGAAGGCCAAGATGAGAAAGGGAGCAGACTTTCCAACAAACTCATACATCACACTTCCAAAGGGAGCTCCCACTGGAAAGCAAAGCAGCACATACATAGAGATGAGGCTCATCCCAGATGGTGAGATGCAGCCGCATCATGAAGTGAGGATTTATTGAAGACCTACTAAGGCCTGAGCTGCACTGGAGGCTCTGAGGGCTCAGGGATGAAGACCTGGTCCCTGGTCCTTGTAGTGACGGAAATTTGCTTGGAGGATTGGGGGACAAATAATGAGAATGTGGTGAAAAGCTCTGGAGCAAAAGGTCGTGTGTACAGAGGAGTGGGTCCAAGAGTTCAGGTGGCCACAAGAGCTTTGCCAAGTGCAGAAGCAAGAAGCACATAAGAAGGACAGAGAGGTGTCAGAAAGGATGGTGCCACTGGAGAAGAAAGTCAGTGTTATTAGAGTATGAGTCCTTGGGAGAGGAAGCGTAGAGGTCGGGTAGGTTGAGGCCCCGAACCAATGCCCCCAGATAACTGGATGAGGTGTCTAGTAGACCTCGTGGCCTAGGGAGAAACATCGGTGATCTTTAGCAGGAGAGAAACACCACCAGGTCTGAGCTCGGGAACATTCTTCTGGTGGCACCATGTGGGAAGGAAGGATGTGAAAGAAATCAGGCAGGAGACTGGTGCAGTGTTCCAACCAAGAAGGGGTGAGCTGACCTTGAAGCAGTTGCAGAGAATATAATGGATATGTTCACTTGAAACTTCTGGGATGAAGGACCCAGGATGCACCAAAGTTTAAAGTTGAGCATTAGGTAGGTGGATACTAACAAGGAACAGAACTTTGTACCCTCTCTTTTCCATGGTGGCAGAGGTGGGCCCATTCTAGGAAAGAGATTTTAGGTGTTCTTTCAATGAGTTCTTGCAAGCTCCTAGAAGGCACAACTTTGTATGCCTGGAGCTTCTTACCTGCAAGCCTTCTGTGCTAGCACTGTGTTTGATACACAGGAGGTGCTCAACAAAAGGAAGTGACTTGTTAGGTCTAATCAGTTAAGCAATATGAAGGATGAACTTCAAGGAAAGTACACCTTATTGCATGAAGCTTGGATTCTGAGAGAATATCTCAGTCTTCATTCTGCCTCTTGAAATGCCCAGCTGTGTGACCTTGGATGGTTACCTGACTTTTCTTATTCTCACCTCTGTACTGGGGGACAATCATTCCTTCTTCTCAAGGTGGTGGTGCGGAATAAAGGAGATTATACATACATTAAATCTAGTAGAGAATATGGCAGAGGGCAGGTTTTCATGCTGAAAGCACTGGCCATGTGTGGAAGCAAAGGTGAGGCAGGCAATGGATACATATGTGGGATGTTCACTCCCTTGGATGTGCTGGTCCTCTGAGCTTTCTGTGCAGCTCAATTGAAGGAAATGGAAACCTTTCTATGGTAAAATTTCCAAAGAAGTCAACACAAGATTGGGCCAGAGAGGAAAATGCTTGTCTTCCATGACCTTGGGAATACCTGCCTCTGGAACCATCTCTGATGGGTCTGCAGTTCCGCCACCCTCCTGAACCTTAATCTCCAGCCAGATTCAACCTACCCAGAACTCCCAAAGCCAGGCCACCCAAAGCGATTCCCATGACTTTTCCTCTCTCATAGTCATCGGTGTAGACACTGGCCAGCATTCCAAGACCTGAGCAGAGAATGACAGATGAAGTCGGCACATGGAGGGTTTCATCCTGTCCCCTCAGTGTCCTTGGTCCCTGCCCTACTGCATCTTGAGTGATAATCTTAGAGTTCCAGTTTGAAGGGTTAACTCACAAAACTTAGTCCACAGTATATTGTAAATGCCGTTCCCCACTCATCCCCAAAGTCCTCACACTACTCACTCCTCTGTGCACGAGTAATTTTGGAAGTACAAAGCCTTCTGGGAAAGGTAACATAGAATACTATTGTCTAATTGTGCATGTAAGGGGAGCCTAAGGATAGGAACCTCAATGAACACAGACTGTCTGTCTTATTCAACATGTGCCCAAGGAGAAGCATGATATGCCCAGCACCAGGGAGAGGGTGTGACCTGGCAGTGCTTGGCAGCTGTGCTCTCGGCACAATTACTCTGGGCCAGTGGCACAGGAGCCTCACAAGAGTCCATGACATATTGTCAAAGCATCTAGCAACTCTTCACACACTACACTGGTATTTCTGACAATATTAATAAAACTCCTGTCGTGAAATGAGAGGGCAATAGAGAAAGGGCCACGAAATGGCACTAAGTAAAAGCCTGGCCTACCTCATAGCTTTACTTGGGCATGTTCTGACCTGAGCCAGCTGCAACTGAATATTGTCACAGGAAGTTACATCAGACAGGGATCTATAACCCCCGCTAGCAACTCAACACTTGCCTTGTTCCTGAATCATAATTTCTACCTATCAGGGTGATAGTTTCCTTAATTTCCTCATATAAATATGATAATGCCTGAGGTAGCAAGAGGTGGTAAAAAAAAAATGTCTGTCAGCCTTACCTGCAACAGAGGAAAATGAAGATCCAATGCCTTGGAGGGTCCGGGCCACAAACAGCAGACTATAGATGCCGGAAAAAGCAAACACTGCATAGAGTATGGCAAGAATGCTTCATTACCAGGCTGCCTTAGATTGCCCAGCCTCCAGATGACATGCCGTTTATGCATATGTTTTAACAGAGCATGATGATTTTTACTATCTGTTCTTGAAATTATCTCTCTAGTCTTCCCCAGCCTTTTACTAGACTAATTTTAATTGATTAAAAGACTGAGAAACTACATACCCATAAAGCAAGCCACTGCACAGTGGATGGAAGACTGCAGTGCTCTCCCTATATCTTGCTGAAAACTTGACACCCTATCCCCTGGAATCAGATGTCCAGGAAGCCCAGTGTCCTGGGATTAGAACTACTAGGACCCTATTTACACCCTGCTCCTGGAACTTCAAAACATCCGGATTTGGCTTTTTCTGTTACTGGGCCACACTGGTCACCCTGAGTACTGTGACAACGCATCTGCACACCAGGAACCAGAGGCATTAAATAGAAAATATCTTGGGATGCAGTCAGATTGTTCCCTTTACCTCATGTTGGAAGATCATTTAATCAAATAAAATTAGTGTTTATTAAATAATACTGAATGCACAGCTTTGCTAGACTCTGTAGCAGATGAGAGACGGGGGTGAAGGGAGGAGTGACTCTAGGTCATGCCCCTGAAGAGACTGAGTCTAATTGGAGACTAACATACATGAAAATGAGAGTCAAACAGAAATATGTTATCAAAAACTAAATTACAGGGTGTTGGCAGTCAGGTTGGTAGATTCAGACATGCCTTGCCCTCAATTCCAGAACAATGTCTCCTAAGAGAGAAGAATCCCTCCCAAAGTGTCTGAATCAGAAGAATTTTAATCCTTTGGGCCATTCATTACAGGTGTCTTTGGTTGTGTTTGTAATCTTCTTCAGTTACTTCCCGACATGATCACATTCTACTACTACTCATTGTCTCCCAAACAAGCACATTCTTGGCCTCTCCTTCTCTCTTTCTCTCTCTCTCTCTCTCTCTCTCTCTCTCTCTCTCTCTCTCTCTCTCTCTCTCTCTCTCTCTCTCTCTCTCTCTCTCTCTCTCTCCAACTTCCAATGCCCTTTCTTGGGCTTTCTGATTTCCATTCCTATATCCTCTGACAACAGAGTGAGCAACTTGTCTTACTTTGCCCAGACTTTCTTAGCTATAAAACTGCAAGTCTTCTATCTTATGAAGCTCCTTGGAGAGTAAACAAGATAGGATGGTTGGTCACTCTATGTAGGAAGATCAAAGTAATTTCCTTTTTCTTTCACTCTACTAACCCAGGCCACTACTTAGCTCCCAATTACACTAAGCATGGTTCCTAGACAAGGATCTTTGATGACTGTAATGGACATGGGCAACTTTTTTAGGTTTTAGGTTAACTAAAACCTTTTTTTTAACCCTAAATGATGCTACCGAAAGATAGTCTAACCACTAAATACACTTTCTTTGGGACAGACTTATGCTAAGTCAGTACAACAACAACAGTGATCTCATGGAAACAAAAATTATGATTTATCACATACAGTTGATAAGAAAAGCTTTCAAAAATAGGAGTTCTTGGCAGAGACTCAGCAAGGACCTAATGCTAAATAGTTTGGGCTCCCTAATACACTGCATTATCTTATTTTACGGGATGTTTTTCCCCAGCCACCATGCCCTCCTGGATACTTGAAACCATGTCTTTTCTTTCCTTAAGTGACATAATACATGTGCTTCATAAAATTCTGTGGAATGATTTTTAAGACTCGCTAGATGAACTTGTTAATTTTTAATTTTCAGCCCTGATTGTAATACATTTGTATTAAACAGTGGGTCAGTAGGAGTCAAATCCTATGCCAGGAGGTAAGAAAAATTGAGGAGGAGCTGTACAGAAAACTGATAAGTAACAGAAAGATAACAAAAATAAAGGGGAGAAGTTATATTTTTGGAGAGCAGGAAGTCAACAAATTGCACCCTAAATGTGAACTCCCCTTGCATTCTTATTTACTTTGCATTTCAGTGTCAATTACATTTTTCTTACTATTTCTATTCCATCCCTGTTTTATTAGAAGCATTTGGCTGATACTGCATGGACTATTTGTCCTTTTCTTGCTCCTTTAGCAAATTTACTTTCCTAAGCTATAACCTTTCATGCACTTAGCTGGAAAGCAGTAACCTTTTCAGAATCTTTCAGCCACTGTTGTCCAACTTCTATTTTATTTTGTTAGTTGTCTTTTACCAAAGCACATCAAAACACTATGGTATATTCCCATACATTCGGGGGAGGTTCTAACCTTGCCCAGGGAATTACTGATAGTAGCACACATACGTGCACATGTGTACACACACACGCACACACGCACACTGTAGTGCATGCATTCAAACAGCTTTCATGATTTCCACTGGCACAAATCAAGTATCTGTTGTTCAGCAGAATAAGCACGCTCCAACTAGACTACGTTGCCACGACTGTGCTAATCCCTAGTACAAAAATTGCAAAGCATTCAAATCAATGTTCCACTTAGTCTGATGCCTAACAACCCTTCCGGGCTAAACTAACTTTTTTTTTTTTTTTTTTGCACTGCAGTCACATGATGAAATCAAAGAGACTCAGTGAAGGGAAGAGGAAGGGAAGAAATTTACTTACTAATGGTGGAGAGGAACATGATAACAAAGCCAGCAAACATGGGAATGTGATATCCAACCCTAAAAAGGGATTGAACAAGATTCAATGCCACCAGGCTTTCCTATACATATATATTTTTAACATAAGTGGAAAGAGAAATGCAGTTAATTTGAGTACATGGTAAAGCTTGTCTATGAATCCGAGTGTGGAGATGTAATACAACATGTAAATGAGCACAAGTAAATAGAATAAACAAATACAAAATTTACCCCAAAAACTAAGGGCGAGTCTTCTTTTCCAAAAAGGATAACTTACATAGGGTATATCACCTCAAAGCACCAGCATGATCCCAGACACAAACAGTAGGAAGCCTAATGCTTTAGACTGCATTAGATTCTCCTGCTCTTCCCATGCAAGCCCTGCTCTAGAGCACTGAGGAGACATAAGCTGTAATCTGCTGCTCAATGATTCTCTTCTTGACATGTATTATTCATTATATCACTAAGAAAGCAAGAAGCCCATGATATTTCACCAATACATCACCCTTTGGAGAAATCAACCTTCCAAATTGCTTAATTCCCTGGGAACAAGAGTCTTCCTTCTTTGTCCCCCTTCTAACCACTAAAATGAAACCCTAACACACGTTATCACCACCTGAGCCTCTGGGGTACTGTGCCCACTGAAATACCTGTTGGTGAGAGGTCCCACAAGTGGGTTGACCAGAAGCTGCATCAAAGCCTTTGAACCAAAGAGAACTCCAACACGAAGGTTCTCTTCCTCCAAGAACTCTGAGCCTTGCAAGCAGTTGTTTTTATGTGCTGAGCTGGTGTTGGTGACTGGAGGGGGGATGGTGCCTGAAGAGCCATTGAGCCATGCTGTGCTCCCGGGAACAGTTTCTTCCACAAGTACGGTGGTGTTGTCAAAAAAGGAGAAGATGGCTGAGAAGTCAGGAGAGCTGCGAGTTTGTGGGGAACTTAGAGAAAGGCCGGTGCGCAGAGAAGAGTTGCTTTCTTTGAACTCTGTGGCATACAGGAAGGTGGGTACAATGGGCACTGAAAGTCAATGAAGATATGTGGTGAGGGCTAGGACAGATCATCTTTTCACCACTACTAGGTTCTGGAGCATTACTAAGGGGTTTAGTTTTATACTAAAGGAAGATGTCCAAGTGACATCGTTTACCCACTAAAGATTGTACCTGCCCATGTTATTCTATTAGCAAAAGGACCTAAATGCCAACCATCATAGTTGGTCTCACAGATTTGTGGATTCTATGCTGGCTAACTCACTGCTCACTAAGGTTATTTGTAATCTAAAATCAATAGTGCTGAGCTATGCTGATTTTTTGCAGACAGGTGAAGAGTGTTGAGGTACCCAGTGGTACATTCTGGTGAGGTGGAAGAAAGGAAGCTCTGCCCCCGTCTCAGCCCTTACACATCGGTGATTGGAAGAGGCTTGGGAACCAGTGAGGTATCATCCCAGGGGCACCAGCTATGGGATGGTTCCATGAGGTTTGAATCCCACCTGGTAGCAGGTGGCCTTGGGCATATCGTTTAACACTTCTGAACTTTGTTTTTTTTTTTTTTTTTTTGTAGAGAAAATACAAACAAGTAGGATGCATTGTTTTTAGGGCTTAATTTATGTGTGTGGGGGGGGTCATTGTGTGTATGTCTGCCAAGGAACAGTGATTCAGTATTGCCTAATTCAGTGTTTGCAACAATTTAATAGAATGTAGCTGTTAACTATAGAACCATGAATAATAAGAATTGACTGTATTGGATTAACTATTTGTCTTGGGAAGGTTCTTATTTAAAGACATACATTCTATTCATGAGGGGTAAACTTAATAACTATTTATATACTGCAATAATATAACAGGTAGATTTTAAAAGCATCAACCAGAAAAATCAGGATTCTGAAAAAATGAACTGTGAGCAAGACAAGGCTAAGTAAGGACTTGGATACCCAAATACAGTATACTGCTTTTTCAGGAAAAAGGCTGGAAAGCCAAAACGCTACCCACTGTCTGAGGCCACTGGAGTCTTTAGCCCCTTGGGAAGACAGAAGGAGGAGGAAGAAAACGAGGTCATTCTGGCTCACTGCCTTACTCTTTTCCAGCCAGATGCTCGCTGAACCTCCTTCTCTTGGACCCTCTGGAGTCTACAGCAAAAGCTGGCAGGCTTTGAACTCATTGCCCGCAGCTTCCTCCAACCCTACCCGCCAGAGACCTCCATATGTCTTCCATCAGGGAAATTCTGAAGTCTGCTCACTGCTGGAACTGAGCAGGGTGTGTGCTTCCTGCCAGGGTCCAAAGCCAAAGAACCCTCAGTACAAAGATGCCATGACGTACCCACCACAGTGAGCAGCATGTTGTCCAGAAGCAAAGCTACAAACACCACCACCAGCACCAGCTGCTGGGACTCTCTCCGTTCCTTCAGCCACTGCTGGGAAGCACTCAGAACCCCCTGGAGCATGGTGAGGGTGGGGTTGGGGGTCGTCTCCCCCAGGTGAAGGCTGTTACCTTTACAGAAGTGGGGAGCAAGTCTGCCTCACGAGTGACACCACTCACTGTTAAAATGAAAAGTGCAACAAGGTATAGTTGGTGGAATGATGTTTACAAAATTTCTATGCCTTATCTCCATGCATGTCTTATACCTCTTAACAATAATTCTACCAGTTCCCAGGACGCCTTCCAGGCAAGTGCTGCTTACCAGCAATTCATATCTGGAATTATACCTAGCACATTAAGCAGATAACATGGATCGCCTAGCCCCATATTTATTAAACCAGAACATTCACCTCACAGTTACAAAGTCAGAGGTTCAGGAATTAAGGAGATTTACCTTGGGTCACACAATTGGTTTCAAAGTAGGATGAAATCCCAAGCTTTTTAATTTGCATACTTCCATTTTACCATTTTCCTCTGCTGTGGAGTACTAGAAATGCTCTTATTTCTTTGTTAAGCTGTGGAGACCTGCTCAGAAAAGTGTGTTATCCTGTGTAAGATACTGACTTTCATGATTAGTTTCCCATTTAGGATTTCCTATAATTCACCAGCATTAAGTCACAGTACCTTGTCAAATGTCAAGTAATCATGTTTCGGGGAAGATTTCATTTTCTTTTATGTGCTTCTGTTGTGGTATCAACAAAACCAATAATTTAATTTTTTGGTGATGGGGACCAGGGATCAAACTGAGGACCTTGCACTTGCAAGGCAGGCATGGTGCTACTGAGCTAAATCTCTGGCCCCCTGATAATTTAAAATTTTAGGCCAGGGATTTAGCTCAGTGATGCTGTGCCTGCCTCACAAGCACAAGGTCCTGAGTTTGATCCCCAGTACTACTACGACTACTATTAATAATAACAATGATAATAATTTTTAAAATAGGCTACTGTCATGAAATGTATCAGATCCTAAAAATGTTATCTTCTTACATTTGCTCTTTTTATCTTTATTAGTAAATGTTTGCTTTTAATTTAGTAACTCTACTTCAAGGAACCTATCCTATCCTAAAGAAATTATTGGAGGCATGACCAAAGATTAATGATCATAATTATTAATTGCTGAATTTTTATTATTAAAAATGGAATATTTTAAGTCATATTTCAAATAATTATATAGACTTAAATACCCTAAGTGTAATGTTAAGGAAAAAAAGAGATATTAAACTGTATTTACTACTGGGCCTCAACTAGTTAAAAAATAAATATATAGACACATTTTTTTATACCCAAATGCCGGCTGTTTATAATCGGTGATTTCAATTATCTTCTTTTTCATTTTTATCATTTCTAAATACAATATTTTATAATGAACAAGTTTCCTAGTATAAGCAGTAAATAATTTTCAGTGATTGTCCCTGGAGTTCAAAGTCAGCTTCAAACACAGGAGAAATCCCAAGAGCTCAGCTACTGGGTTCAGAGGCCCAGACTGGAAGAACATTCTCCAAACAGCAGTTCAACTGACCCAAAGTCTGAAATAAGTTTTAACAAAGTACTGCATAAAATTATTTAAGACCCTTTAATTCTCTACCTCACCAAGAGATTTTTGAATACAAACTTACTTAAGATACACAAGAATTGAAAGAAGAAAAATAATGAAAATGAAAATATTGAGTAGAACAAGTAAGTACTATAAGGAAAAATCCCAACAAAAAGAAAGAAAGCCAGTAAAGTTTCAATAAATCAGTAGTAAAACTTATAGTCCAATTCCTCTAATGAGGGATGAGAATGACAAGGAAGTATTAAATTTGTCCAAAGAGAGAGAGAGAAAAATCTTACCTTGCAGCCCATCTTGGTGTGTGGCACCCAGCAAGATATCAGCAGCTGTTCTCTCCACCAGGCAGCATGGACTCTGTTCTCTGTTCTCTGAATGTGGATGTGCTGAAGGATTTATTGACACTTGTTATCTGAGGATGCAGTGTGTGTGTGCCCTTTGTCCACAAAGATTTAATTGGTGCCTCTAACAAGTTTCATTCAGACCCTTGGTTCCCTGCGTCACAGGCAGGTGGGCAGGGCTGGGAGCACACAGAGAGGGAGAGCTAGCTTTCTAATACAGAGGCAATGGACTGCCCTGCTTTTTCATTTGTTCTTATCTGTCATCAAACTCTTTTTAACTCTTCCCTGGGTCTGAATATAGAATGTAAGACAAGATAGAACCAGGGTACATTTCCCGACATTTGCTATTTAGTTAGAGGCTCCTCGTACCCTAATTGCTTCCTGGAAAGAAACAAACCTCAGAACATGCACAGAGCAAAAAACAAAATAAGATAAAAGAAAATGTGCTTGCTGTTTTCAAGCCATAAACAACCCAATGTCTGTGGCCTGAGTAAAGGCACAGTCCTCGCATCCCAATACCACTTCAGTATCTGGAACATAGTTTTTGGTAAACCTTTCCTGTATGGATCACTGGACAGATGGCAACATAACACAGTACAGCTCATTTGGGAATCTCAAGAAACTGGATGTGTCTTAGTTAGTTCTCTCATTGCTGAGACAAAATACCCTACACCCACATGTTAAAGGAGGAAAGGTTCAATTTGGCTCATGGTTTGTAGAGGTTTTAGTCCATAGTAGGCTGGCTTCAAGGCAGGGCAGCATGGCAGAGGGGCACAGAAGAGGAGAAATTGTTCATGGAAGAGCAGTCAGGAGGCAGCAAGACCTTCCCTCTATCTTTCCCTTTATTTTCCATCCAGGCTTCAGCCCATTGATTGGTGAAACCCATATCCTAGGTGGAGCCTCCACCATCCACACCTAGAACTGTGCTGAACCAATTTAGTTATCACACACCCTAGATCCAACCACCTCCGAAAATCCCCACCTGTGAGCACATGAGGCTTTAGGGTGACATCTGAATTTTGGCTATTACAGCATGGGTCTATATTATTCTGGGACTAAGAGTCATTGGGATATTTGGAAGTTGGTGGGGTGCGGTAGGAAATTGCAAGACTGCTTCGTGAATGAGTTTAACCAGGAAAAAACCTTAAATATTAGCACTTAGAAAGATAAGCCGATCAGCTGAAGCAGTGCATTGCAGTGTGTATATTTAATAGTTTACATTAGTTATTGCTTTTGCTTCTATGGAGTCTGGCCTTGTTTTACCAAGTTCTCTCCCACTAAGTGTTGTTACTTGGATCTTCTAACTTTATGTTTCTGCTATCGATTGGATTCAATCTTTGTATATTTCTCTTACTTCTTGTTTAATTTCTCATCCCTATTCTTTCTTTCCTTCCCTTCACAAAACCTCTTAAACCTATCTTCCCTTCCTCCTTCTTTCTTGGTATATAAATTTATTATTAAAAATAAAATTTTCTTTCTTTTTCTTTCCTCTTTTCTCTTGGCCTATCCTGTATTATTACTATTCTTTTATTTTCCTGGGCTACTGAAAGGGTAGAGAACATTTTTCAAAGTCTTAAATTATATCTTGATCTACAATTGGTTCTTTGGATGTTAATGTTACTCATAGTGGTTCTCTCCTCACAATGCAGTGCTAGGTATGGAACCCAGTACAGTACCATACAGAGGTTGAATGAGTGCTTTCATTCTGAGTCACACTCAAAGCCAAAGGCACATCAAAGGGAGAAAGTCATTCACTAATGAGATGTCCACAGTACTGCAACAGCTTTTTATCCCAACTGATCTACAATCTTCAACATTCAACAATTGTGAGAAAGCAAGGCAATGGGAACCTCAAAAATTCATAACTCACCAAACACTGAGCCAGCCCATAGATGCTGAAGCGGGTGAAATCCCAGATAAGGAACTTCTAAAAACTGATCGTTGTCATGATCAAATCAAAAAAGAGACCAACGAGCCAGGCGTGGTGGCACACGCCTGTAATCCCAGCACTCCGGAGGCTGAGGCAGGAGGATTGCTGAGAGTTCAAAACCAGGCCGGGTTACATAGTGAGTTCCAGGTCAGTATCAACTACACAGTGATGCCCTGTCTCAAAAAACAAACAAACAAACAAAAGAGAAAGAGAGAGAGAGAAAGACCAACAAGTAGATGAATGAATCAACTACTAAAATGATCAACGAGCCCAAAGAGGATACAAAAAAGCAGCTGAACAAATTAAGGGAGGCAATGCAGGATGTAAAAGACCACTTCAGTACAGAGATGAAAGTTCTGAAAAAGAAACAAGCAGAAATTCTGCAAATGAAAACTTCAAGTCTAACAAAAAACTCAACTAAGTCTCAGTGGCAGGCAAGCTGAATCAGAAGAAAGGATATCACAATTGAGGACAAGGTGAACACATGAGAGAATTCACTCAGCAAGCATGAAAACAGAACAAGAAATACTATAAATATTGTCCAAGAGCTGCAAGACAATTGTGAAAGAAATGTAAGATGCATACCCTTTGAGGAGAGGTCAGGGATGAGGCCAGATGTCCCAATTCATTGTCAATGCCTCCAGTGTCTGTTAATTTTGAACTACACAAAGCCGATTGCTCTTAAGAGATAGCAGAAGTCATTTTACGTTTTCCTAATGTTGTGTAGGTCTTTAGATTATTTTCCAAAGTTCTCTGTATCAATGATATTTACTCCCACAAATACTTACACAACCCTAAACGGCTATAAGGGCAAGGGAAAGAATATGTCTCATTGGGAAGGTATTTAAATGAATGAGAAACAGAAATGAATCCAACATCTAAAAAACTAGTAGATGACAAGAATTAGTACATATCCTTCAATAATAGTTGAATTAAAATCACAGATTGGCAAATTAGATTAAAAAGACGACCTACCTATATGCCACTTGCAATACCACACCTCATCTGCAAAGATACACATTAGCTGAAAATGAAAGAATGGAAAATGAAACTCCAAGCAGTCAAAAGCAAGCAGGGCTACCTATATTTATATCTAGCGAAGTTGGCTTAAAACCAAATCTTGTTAGAAAAGACAAAGAAATCCACTATATAGATGAAAAGAACACTCCACCAAGAAGAGAACAATTGGAAATATATATATATATATTCACTGAGTATTAGCACATCCGGGTTCATAAAACAAACTCTACTTGGTACAAAAGGACAGATAGACACCAATACAATAATAGCGGAGGACTTCAATATCCCATTCTCACAAGGAGAAAGGCAAACAAAGAAACAGCTAAACTACACTATAAATCAAATGGATTTAGCAGCTACCTACAGAGTGCTTCATCCAACAATCGCAGAACACACATTCTTTTCAGTAACCCATGAAACTTTCTCCAAAATAGATTGTATTTTATGCTGCAAAGCAAGATTCAATAAACACAAAAGAAACATGATTTGGGGAACTAAGGGCATGGAGAGCAGGTATAGGCAAAGAATCATCATACTTTGGCATTAATAGGAACAACAGCAACAGAGGTACTAGCTAGCATTTACTTATTGAGTGTCTGCTCCAAGCATGTTGCTAATGGGGCACTGTGTCTATGTTCACAGGTAGGACAAGCCTGGGCTGTCTTCACAAATGTCCTCTACTATTCACAATTTGAATATATTTCTATTAAACAGGAACGAACTCTGGTTAGATGTTGAGTGTAAAAAGAGAAGCTGTGGGTTTGGTGAAATGGAAATCATATATATTATTAGCAAGTATACAAATATACACAATTCTTTCAGAAAGCAGTTTTACTTTCTATCTTTTACGTGTCTGTGTCTGTGGGGGGCATGTGCTGTTGGATTAAACTCAGGCCTTTGCCCTAAGCTACATCCCTATCCCTTTTAAATTTTTTGTTGTTGTTGTTTGTTTTTGGCAGGGTTTTGCCAAGTTGTTCAGTTGCTTGGGCCTATCCTCCTGGTTTAGTCTCCTAGAGGACTGGAATTATAGGCATGCACCACCAAACCTAGCTTCTCTTTTATCTTTTAAATTGTAAAATGTTCATACCTTTTGACTTACTAGGAATTTTACTTCTTATAAATCTGGTCTAACACAACTGAAAATGTTGGGAGATGGAGGCAGAAATCATAGGCACAAAACTTTTATTGTAGCATTTAGGGAAAATTGCAAACACCCCAAATGTCCAACTAAAGAAAAATATTGAAATATGTGGGCTTCAAAGACTATCATGTTACTGTTAAGTTGGGGGAAAATATTATTACGAAGGCTAACAACCTGGAAAAAAAATTATACATATAGATGCTCACATGAGAGATGAAAACATAGAATATAAAACTTTATGTACATTTATAGTAACATGTCCTATAACTAAAAGGTAGATGCAACCCAAATTTCCCCCAACAGACAAATGAATAAACAAAATGTGGTAGACACATACGATGGAATATTATTCAGCCTTAACCAAAACTAAAAGAAAATTGTGACACGTGGCTAACAAGTGGATTATCCCCAGGACACAAAGCTGAGGGAAATGTCATTCACCAAAGGACATATCCTGTACAGTTCCAGTTCTTTGAGGTACCTAGAGTAGTCAAATTCATAGAAACAGAAAATAGGGCTGGGGATTTAGCTCAGCGGTTCGGTGGCCTGCCTTGCAAGCGCAAGGACCCGAGTTCGATCCCCAGTCCAAAAAAAAAAAAAAAAAAAAACAGAAAGAAAGAAACAGAAAATAGAGCAGTATCTTTCAGGGTTTAAGGAAGAAGGAAGTAGGGAATGGCTTTTCTAAAGAGTATGAAGTTTCAGTTTTATAAGATGAGAAATGACTGGAGACTGGCTGCACAATAATGTCAATATAATTCACACTACTAAACTATGCACTCAAAAATGGGTAAAATGGGAAATTGTATGTCTATTTTACTATGATTAAAACTTTAAAAAAAAAAACAGTGTTTGCCTTGTGACTATATGTCTGCATTGTTTAAATAAGAGAGGAAAAAATTAAAACTAAAATGTCACTGGTCAAAAACAATAGCTCAATCTACATGTGGATATGCT